GACAAGCTTCCTGTCGCAAACAATGCATATTTATCTAACGTCCATTGTCAGCATTATTATCAGTCAAGACTTCGTCTGAGAAATCGTTTTATTTTCTAAGTCTATATTCTATTTTAATAACACCATCTTACTAACGCAATGGCGATAAAAAGAAAGAAAGCAAAGACGCCAATGACAGACGAGACAAAGAAAAATTTGCAACTCAAGGTCATATTTACTAATTTAGACTAGCCTGCAGCCTGTTGTGATTCGGATCATTCCGATGCAAAATTACAGGACTTTTGCATTCACCCCTCGTTTATGCAATTTATATAAACAAAGCCATCGTTTCCGTTTATGCAGAGAGCGTCCACTCATCTAATTTTCCGTTGACACTGCCGTTTTAATAGTAGTTTTCCATCTTCAGCAGTAGTTTCAATCCATTCACATAGCTTTACGTTTTTTCTCTCTTAATATTCTTAATAAAACGATATTGATTGCCTAGAAACAGTTTGACCCGCTACACGCTTTATTTGGGAATTCAAAGTGATGAATAGTCATAACAAATTATACTTGCTAATGACAAAAAAAGAAAGTAACAACGTATGAAACGTACTTCGCTCTCTACTCGCTTTGAAGCTGCCGCCTATGCTAATGAGCATAGTTGCGGACGAAGCCTTACAACTTCAAGATGGCGTTAATGTTACCAGCTCCCTGATGTTACACCGTAATAAGGCACCCAACACCAACGTACATGTGTTTTGTAACCCCTCTCATACCCTCCGGGGGATGTTATACATGTTAATAAATGTTAAATACTTGCTGATTACCGAATCGTGCGGCATGTCGTCGGTAAATACTTGTTTACCGTAGTTCGCGAGCAGTCGGCGAAATAACCATTTAAAACTGAACATTTCTATAAGGCATGCTGTGTACGCTTACATCGATCGACCATTGAGATTCACGCTTTTCGACCAACCAATGGGAAATGTGCTCTTCGCAGAGTGACACTGCGTTCCTGTCGCAGAGTGCAATAATCGACATTCGGCGAGTCGCACAATCGCGTCACAGAGTTAGTTTTTAGAACCCCATACATACCTCTTATTTGTGCTAGTTCTCTTCGAGTTAAACATGCAATAACAATTGAATTGAATAAACACAATAACAATATAAGAAAGCACTGAAACCCAATTGAACAATATTGAATCAATAATACAAAGGAATATCACAGTAATAATTAGGGAAATAATAGTGGATTATTCTCCCTCTCATCGACACCTTTCACCACCAGTTCCCTCTTTTCATCACAAATTCACAAAATATCGGTAGTCCTGTTTATAGTCTGCCTTTTCCGTCAGAACATTGGGACAAAAATAGCCAAATTTTTTGAGTGAGAACTGAAAATTTACTCAACTTTTGTCAGTTGGCTCCAAAATTTGGCTTCATTTCCAGAAATATTAAAGAGTATAAAAAAAAGTGCAGAAAAATGTGTGCGAGAAAGTCTTGTGTTGAGGAGGTTAAAGTAAGACACATTTGCTGATTAGTTCACAAATCCAATCATAAAAGAGTGAACAGAATCAATAGGTGCATATTTCACTCAGATTGCATCCTAATATTGTCAAACAATGAAATCAACAGATAACTACTGGTACAGAGTGAAAATTGGCTGTTTTTTTTATGACTGAATAAGTGTGATGTCATCATTACCTTAACTTGGTCATAAATCTGCTTCATTCTGCTCTCATCATTTTCCATAGTTTGTGACACTAAAAGAAATAACAATGTTCTACTTAACTCTTTGAGCGCCATGATTTTTCTCAGCAAAAAATTTGGGTGCAACATTTTGCCTGTTTTTAAATATTTTTCTACATTTTATTTTGATCATTTTGGACCAATTTATGTCAAAATTTAAAAAAAAAAAGTATTATGGTTAAAAATTTGTGATTGGTGAGAAAAGTTGACTTGTTTTTAACAGCAAATTTGAATTTTCCCACCATACACAAAATAAACCCACATAATCTGTTCCATAAATTAGGACTTGTTGCAAATGAACAATTGCACAAAGTTGGTCTAAAATTAACACGAACATGGGAGAAGATTTTTAAAAAAATACAGAAAAAATGCACCAACAATGTGGCAGGAAAAATGATGATGCTCAAAAGGTAAAATGTCTGTTTTCCACTAAAAGTCACAAATTCTTAGAGTAGTTTTTTTGAATTTACTTTATCAATTATTTTTCCGCCCCAAAAACACTCGGCTATTGTGATTGAAGGACATATCCTCGGGGGTGGAGCTACGTCACAGACGTTCCACGTTGCTAAGACGCGCACCACTGTGCCATGCATTTCTATGGGCTCTGTGCGTGCTGCTGTGGAACGCCGGTCGAGCCGGTGAAAATTCGAGAAAACAACACAAACTCAACTTTGAAGTAATCCTGAACAACCAAATTTATATATGTTACACACGTAGGGCTAATCTTGTTACACTGTTCAGGGGAGTCTCAACAATCATCCCAAAGTACTGTTTTCTGCGAGTTTTGGGCCTTTGTTTTCACCGCCGCGGGTTGCCAGGCGGTTAAAATGCCCGGATGTCCGCCCCCGAGGATTACTGGAAGTAATTACTGTTAGGACAACAATACCGCCAAAAAGTTCCATGAGTGGCCTCTAAAAGGGGATGAAGGAAATCACATGATACTAGTAGTTACTTTCATCACTGGAAATACCAGCATCATGCGAGTCACTGCTTCTTCTGGCAAATTTAAAAACATACAGAATCTTATTGATAAGTCAAGTTGATTTTGGTAATTTTTTGATTATTTTCTTTGAGGAAAAAATGATTTTATTATTTCAGTATGGAGAACAAAGATGACATTTTAACTAGAGTACAACTACAATTGGAATATACACAATTCGCTGATGACCACTTTATTTTTCACTTGAAATTTAATTTTGCTGAAAAGGTGAGGCAACAAACACAAAATGCAGAATACATTTTTCTCATTGGTTTGCATGTAATTCATGAAAAATTCACGACAAATGAGATAAAATAATTACTTTAGGCAATACAACTTTTTTTCAGCCAACCGAGAATCTAAACATATACTAAACAGATACTAAACAGTGAGTTCAAAATAAAACTGATGCAAACCAATGACGCACTCGCTTTTGAAAACATCTGCATTATGTGCCTTTATTTCTATGTCAAACAAATGTTTTACTTTAGCTAAAGTTAACTTATATCTTTAAAATCATACATGCTGGTTAGGTACACCAACATTGAACTTGATTGACATTTTACTGTACATGATCAAAAAAACCATTGAGCCATTGTAATCACAAAAGAATTTTTAAGCAAAGAAAATATCCAAGTTTAAAAAAAGATTTAATTGAGTAAAACGTTTACACCAGAGATAACTATGATGAGGACAGACACCAATGATTGAGGCAATGTACATGTAATCTACACGTAAAGCAGGGATTTTTATTAAACAAGGGAACAGGGGCGCAGCGCCCTCATGCCATGGCCATGTGCCCTTTACCCTGGGAAGCAGATCTTCTGGCAACCATACAATTCCCATTGACCAGAGATCACATGTGGCCACAGTCTGCAACTGTGACCTGTCTGATAGTAATTTTGTCTCCAAGGAAACTCCACACCCTGGTAGGAATAACTATCTCCCCCACTTGGTGGCGCTGCTGAATTGAAATGCTCCCTCTTGCAGTTTCTTTCTAGAAAAAAACCTGCGTAAAGCAATTGTATGCAGGACAAGGGTGGAAAATGAAAACAAAACTCACAAACAAATTCTTGATCCATATCTTCCATGACAAATTGTCTAAGTTTATGATTGGCCCTTGGTGACATCGGTGGCGAAGACAAGCTGCTACGTCTTTCCCTACTAGGACCCGCTGTGAAAAGATGGTATAATTCATAAACACACAAGTGCACATGATCACATGCACGCTATAAATCATAGTGTCATATTATAGTGTTCGCATGTACTCGTATTCACGTCAACACAGGACAGAAGAGGGGTAATAATATACGAGTTTTAATAGCATACTACACACAGCAAAAGGATGTCAGCTTGATGAGGTATCATCCAACAAATGGAATGAAAATTACAACCTGCAAGCCGCTCCCATGAAATGTATTAAAACATTTATAAAGTTTATATTACCTTCTAGTGTTCCAGGCTGATCTCCCTCCCTCCTTTTTTTACTCCGCAGTCTTCTTGCGTCTTCTACCACTTGTCTGTGTTCTCGTGTTTTTCTTTTTTTACGTTCCTCTTCATTACTTTCAGAACTGTGAAATGCTTCTCTTCGTCTTCTTAAAACTCTTCTCACAGGCTCGCTATTTTCTGTGTCCCAACCATCATCAGCTGATGTGGTCTCCAATGGCTCAACCCAAGACCCAGGTTTTTCAACATGAACTATTTCTTCATCGCTATTTTGCTGCAGTGCGAGTGTTTTTTTAGCTGGTGTGCCAGTCACGTCTGATCCTCCCGCATCAGTCTCATCAGTTCCTGATTTCTTGTTCCTGCCAACTTTCTTTTTGTTGAATGTTTTACTCCTTGTTGTTCGCATCTCAGGCTCAGAATCTTCATCATCATCATCTCCTGATTCCTGTATTCTCTCTTTTAACTGATCATCATGACTAGTGTTTAATTTTGTGTGTAATTTTTTCACATTTTTATTCTTACGTGGAGTACTCGCCATAAACAATCCATTTGCGCTGCTCTGCAATTCTTCATTGCCAGAGGATAACAAATGTTTTCGAGGTGACTTTCTTCTTTGAACTGGACTCTTTGGAACACTTCCCTGAGGTGATTGTTTAAGAGATTCTCTGTTCTTTCTGTTCTTCTCCATAGAATCTTGTTTCTGTTGAATATTTGCTGCGTCATACAGTTCAGCGTCGAATGAAGACACATCACTGATATCTTGACTACTATTGAACTCACTGATGCTAATCTCACTGGTATCTAGAAAATGAAATTGAAACACTGTGACCCCTAGGATTCAGTTGTCGCAAAATTAGCATTAGACATTTTGTCCAAAATATCAATTAGCATCATTAGACATCACTAATTTGTTGCTCAATTTTGGGTGTAAAAACTGAGGTCCTTTATCCGAAATAATTGAACAAATTGCTGATGTCCAGTGTCTAAGTGAACACCGAATTACCGTTAAAAGGACAGACGGTTTGAAATAACGTGATTGAAATTGTTTTGTTTTTACGTTTATTTTCTAATTTTATTCAATTCTTTCAAAAGCTCCACAATAATCAGATGTATTCAAATAGAAAATTGTTATCAACTCGTGCAAAACCATATCATCTTTGGGGTTAGAAAACCCATTTAGCAACCAATAGTTGCTAGTTAGTCATTCTGAACCAATGGTTATCAGTCAGCCAATTAGGACCAATGGTTATCAGTCAGTCATTATTAATCAGTGGTTGTAAGACATTTTGAACAAATGGCTGTCAGTCAGCCATTTTGAATC